GAGTAAAAGTCTTCTGCCATAAGTGTAAAAATCATTGTCCGTCATTTTTTCCATACATGACCTTTTGGAGTGATACGAAGCAACAAATATTCTTTGTTTGCGAAAATTAATATTTTCTGACGACAAAATGGCTTTGCTGAAGCTATGAATTCAGCATTTGTTTCAGAAGAACATGATGCCACAGAGAGCAGCTTTTTAAGCTGTATTTAACACAGAATCCTATAGAATGTATATTTTATTGAAATAAGAAGTCGGCTTACGAGAGGCAATAGAGGAAATTTTTTATTCTATATATTCAGCGGCCGAAAGTGGCTACGCTTTCAGCCATTATGGATGTTGAAATTTGAACCGGAACTTGACCATGTATTTCATAAGGAAAACCGAAATGTAAATCCCTCATCTAATGAAAACTTTCTTACAGAGCCTGATTCGCAAAGCGAAACTTTTTTAAGAATGCGACATAAGAGGGTCTGGCCAAAAATCACTTTTAAGATTATTTTTCTCCAACAGTCTATACAGCAGTTAATAAAACGTCACCTCCTGCTTTTTCATAGCTAAAAAGTCCAAGATTTTCAATTATTGGGAAGGCGTACATCTTTCATACCCCTCTCCGCTTTTGCGACCGCTGCTTATCAACCAAATTATTAAAACTCTAAATTTCTATTCATATGTGTCTCAATAGATGTTTCACTCGTATCTGTCAAAAGCAAGCATTACTTGTTCTCTTACTTACTCTTGATTTATGTAGACTTTATAGATATATTACTAAGTTCGTTTTGTTATCGCTTGACTATTCAGTTTCTTTTCTATATATCGCTTTCAGCATTTTAAATTCTGATAACCTTATTCAAATAGTCATAAAAAAGGGAATCAGAATGGTCCAGCGCAGATAAGAGCATTTTGCTTCCTCAAGCAACATTAACTTTTTTCTTATCAATTTTCAGTACGTCATGATGAGGTGTGATCCCATTCCATTGGTTAGTTTTTCTACAGCTAACTAAAAAGTGTTCTTAGACCTGTGATTTTCGTAGGACCTCTGGAGAGTTTGAGACTCTTCTTCATTAATACCCGCACCTGTACCCTAAATTGATGAAATTTAGAAAAAAAATAGCATTTTGCTAAGGAGATTATGTGCTGAAGCACAGCATAGCACGATGGGTTGACTAAAGTTTGAAGACATTCACTATAAGCAATATGAGTACTTTAAAAATACACCGGCATTATTGAATATGTTTGCATACAAATATTTTATTACGCTACCATAGATATGAATTACTTCAGCTGATAAAAAAATATATATGTACTATCTCTTTTACTCGACCTTACTAATCAGGCTCTCTTTATTCATGACTGTTGAGTTTCAATGTGTACAATATCCTTTCTTTATATACATATATGCGAGCGTCTATTATATGTATTCGGAAGTGTGATTCACATAGTTGTTTGTTAACTTCTTTCTTATTTATTTGATGTCAGTTTTCTTTGTTTTATCTTATTTTCCTGTGAACTTCAACATAGCATAATAAATTATTAATATTAAAAATGGTCAATGTCATTTCAAAAGCCGGAGTAATGTTTAACACGATGAAATGTCAATTTTATTATCATAAAAGAATTGAATCTGATGTTCGTTCTTCAATAATCGATAAGGTTTGATTTGTACTAGACTCACACGACCAGTCAACACCTCTTTCTTTAAAAATGTTGAGAATGTTCCACTGCGAACAAGAATACATGTAAGAGGACTAAATCTTTTGGTATGACGGCCATAATCATATCTTTCATTTATTTTGCAAAGTTGTCGTTCGACTTCGGAGTCTGCCATCTTTTGAAGAACTCGCAGCTGTTGATCATCAATTTTGCATCCTTGTTTGTTGATCAACTCCAAAAAGATGACGTATTGTGGTGGAACCACATCTAATTTTGGATATGTCGTGAAATCACCTATGTCAACAGATATTCCTTGTTCTTTCCATTCGTGTATAGTTTGTTGTAGAGCATTCATTACATGTTGTTCAGTGATCTTCTCTCCAAATATATCCAAAAGACTTCCAACACGGTATGCAATCGAAATGAGAGGAATTCGAGGAATATCTACTGGCTCAGATGGTAATGGAACCAAATCATCAGCTCGAGAAACAAATCGTGTGCAATTGATAACATCACCCAATCGATATCGAACCAATCCTGCTTCAGTTGTGCAAACCAACTCATATCGATTTCCTGGTTCGATCTCTGAGATGAGTAAGGTTTTTGGTTGAGCCTGAACAATAAGAATATGTTTACGTATAGGACATAGGTTATCATAAGATCAAAGGTAGCGATCTATCTTGGAAAATAACATACCTGATGCACGTCTTCTTCTTTGATAAATTCGAAGAAGGCACATGTTGGTGACAGAAAGTACTCATCAGTATGAATACTAGCGAGAGATCCAAGGAACCCTTCACTGGTGGAGTAAATCATGTAGTTGATCAGAGGTAGTTTATCTCCACAATAAAATTGGATCTCATCTTTGTATATGGCAAACGAACTTCCTGTCGTTGTCATTGCATAAACCAGAGTTGGCCAAAGACGATGAAGAATACCAGGAATATGTTTTTTTTGACATTCTTTTCGAATATGTTCAGCTCGTTCCAATTGATATTTTAATCCTCCGTACTCGATAGTTACCTCATTCAACGCTTGATTGAGCTTCGCTCGAATTTTTGAATCTTGAATATTGTCTCGAGCAAGAGAGCTATGGTCGAAATTAGTAGAAGCGATGCAAAGACTCATTTCTTCAAAGTATTTGTCAATAATTTTAATGGTATGAATGAAGCATGGAGCAAACATAACCGTATAGGAGTATATATCATGACGTGCCAATGCAAAAGTGAGCTGAACGAATGCATTTGTCTCAAAGTCAGAGATTTCTTTTATCAAATCAGGCGCAAGAATACAGTGGCTAGCCCAGATTGTTCTCAGCGCAAGATTAAGCGGAACTATTGAAAAACATTGGGAAATCGGACCTATTGGTATGCCATGTTTGGAGCGAGGATACTTTTCGGCTTTCTGTCCACTGTTCAGTTGGAATGCTCGTCGTTCCGAAGAGGGAAATAATGAAGGAAGAGATCTCCAAATCACACAGAGTCCGAGGCATGCCAGCGTCAACACATCTCTTACCATAGTTGCACTCGTAGGAAGAAGTTTCGCCTTTCCCGTTGTTCCCGAGCTTGCCGCAAAGTAGTTAATTTTTTGAGAAGACAGTAGATTTGTTTCTCCATTAAAAACCATTCGATCAATATAATCACGGTAGTCGTCGTATGTAGTCAATGGCACTTTCTCTCGAAACTCGTCAATTGTTGCATATCCTTTTTCTTCAGAACAATAAGATGAAGGAGGATGCGACGATAGAAATGAAATCGATCGATCTCGGAAAAACACAGATGAGTAATTGTTTTGGAGAATCTTTGCTAGTAACTCATTATTTGTTTTCTGCGAATGACAAAGGAAATTTCGATAATACGATACGAATGCACCTGTCTCTGATGCTCGAATCCTTGGAGCAAACAATAGTTTTTGCATTTGAATTCGAATAAATCTCTTGATGGTAGATTTGAAATACAACGAAGAAGGAGCTAGGAAGATAACGGACATGGCAACAGTACCGCCAAAAAGTAATGGAAAGACGAGTAAAGTCCGATCTTTTAGCAAAGTAGAACTTGATAGAGTTGAGAATACTGATCCCATGTTTTCTTAAAAAGAACGAAAAGAGAAATAAAGAACATTCGTAATGCAAGATGTCTGCATCTAATACGTGTCTGTGAACTACAGAAGTTGCACAAAAAGTTTTTTCGTATTATAAGATTGGCTTGTTGAGAGAAAAGAAGCGATGAATCTTTATTTGTGGCATAGAAAGAAACTAGTGTCGATACCTCTTGCGCGAGGTTTTTCTCTTAATTATCCTTTTACTGTGACTGATTTGATGATATAAGATCACAAAACGAGACTGTGAACTTTTTAGTCGTAGCAAAAAAAGATCAATGCGGGAGGGAAAAAATGATTATTTTCAACAAATATCGATCCTGGCATGATATCGAGATGTAAATTGTATCTATAATTCCATGAATGACTACCAAATTTTTACGTTAAATACAGCTAAAAAAATCTCTGCAAAATAAAATTAAAATCATCTTATCTAATTACTTTATTAATAAGTCCTCCCAACCATGAAAAATTCTCTTTCTAACCTTATTTTTTAGTGTATCAGAGAGATGGAATCGGTTCGTATTTTTTTAAGAGTCAAATCGGGTCAAAGCTAATTGGTACTTTCTGAGTGATATTTTGGTCAAATTTTGTAGCTTTAAGGTTTAAGAAGTAGTTTAGATCATGATTTCCAGCTATTTTTGTATCAGTTTGCAGTTCATAATTTGAGACCGTTATAACATTTGAAAAGAATAATGTTCTGAAGAGACAGAAACATGTCTTTTGAAAGAGAAAGTTGTGCTTTTCAAAGCTTATTGGTTTTTTTAGATTTAAACTTTGGTCTCATATTTAATATTCATAAATGTAATGAGCACTATGACTAGTTAAAGGTAAAAAGAACTGAAAAATCTAATGAAGATGGTCTGTTTTGAAATAATGATTAAATAATTTTGTTCAATTTTTAATGCTTTTTTCTCATGGAATATCTGAAAATTGAAAATAGAGTGAAGTTTTACTAATTGACTATTAATTAATACTAAATAATAATTAACTAATAGTAATATAATAATTGATTAATATTTTAATATCACGATAAATACTTTATGCCAAAATGTAGCCGATAAAGTTCTATACTGAGCTATGTATAAAACTGTTTTTAGTTATAATCGATTAACGAAAAATATGCTGAACTTTTTCCGCTATAGAAAAAAAACATTTTTACAAAGAAAACTAAAATAACTGTACTCTAAAACTTGCGCGCACCCCAATTTTGTAAGCTATTCTGAGAAATATCAAAATCAATATGAGGATCGTTTGAATATGTTGCCCTTCTTGTTTCACTGTGATACCTAGGAATTCAAAAAAAAAATCAACAAAATATCTTGATTTTCATGAATTTTAAATTAAAAACATTAAAAAAAAGACGCACTCACATGATGAAGCAGACATAAATTCTGCTGTGAAGTGCATTTAAAAAATTGTGAGATTTTCTAGTTCTGTGAATGAAGATCCTCTGCTTTGATGTTCAAATCCTAGGTTTTTTTACAGACTTTGTCGATGTTCAAATAGATTTTGCGGTGCTACAGCATCATTAAAAAACTTCAGTAAGAAATTCTTAACTTCATTGCTTTGTTAACTTCTTAACAGTAAAATTTCCATCATCTATTACCGTAATGTTCGGTAAAATGTAAGCATTGTAAAGGTCATTCTGTTTAACCCTCTCCGGCCGGCTATCAGAAGAAAGCAGCAAATGATTATCTTTCTGTATATTCTTTGTTGTTAAGTTATAAGGATCAATTCTAGACGGTCGAGTTTTTTAAAATTCTCGTACCCCCCTACGGCAAAAATGTTGCCAAAAGGCAACATCCGGCCGGAAAGGGTTAACATAGTTTTCAGTAACACTATTTTACGTCAAAGAGCTGCTTCGATCAAAGTCATGGATTCCATACTCTGAGCGTTGTCAATCAGAATTTTCCTGATAATTATTTTCTATTACTTGACATACTTTATTTCCATGTCTTCTTATGTTTTGTTCGTTGTAATTACTCTCAATTTTTAAGTTTAAGATCCCCCCCTCAAAAACTAATCTCAGCTCAGGTACGTTCAAATTGCATGAAATTTTCAGAATATATCGGGGCTATAGTGAAGAGGCTACGGTAAAATTTTCAGATCGATACCATGATGTTTGACAGAGTTATGAACCAAACAAGGGTCAAAAATGGCTCATTTTGCAACCCATTTTTCTCTGTCCAGGCTCATCCTATATATTTATTTTCTTTTTTTGTTTGAAAGAGCGTGAAATGATGCAGAGACTGATAGAGCTCTTTTTTTTAAATTCTTACTTTCTAAGTGAAGAAAATGGATGACAAGCTCAATGACTCAAAAAAACTCTCTAAAAATGGGAGCCAATTTACATAAATGTTTGTATATATAATAACGAAAAAAGTTAATTTAAAACAGGGAGTCTATCAGGCTCTGCATCTTTTCACGCTCTTTCAAACAAAAAAAAAAACTTTAATATATTGAATGATCCTGGACAGAGAAATTTGGGTGGCGGATCAAAAAAGTATAAACTGAAAAAAAAACAAAAACCATTTTCGAGTTTTTAAAAAACAGCTGGTTTTTCGAATAGGGAGGGTGGCAGAAATCTTCAATTTTTTTTTTTGAAAGAAGTAGGTATCAAGTAAAAATTTTTATGCTTTCTGAAAGACTAGATGACGGGCTATCTTTCCATACATTTATCTCAGTTTCGAAATTTCTGACGAAAATTGACATTTTTTGAGGGGAGCCTTAATTTTATCGGTAGTCTACTAATGTTGGATGTCATATATACATACTTGTTAAATGATATGAGAGCGTACAAATTTTGTTGTATGTGCTTGTAATCGATTTTACTTTGTATTTATAATGGACGAAATTAGTCAATCTTCTTACCATTTACTCATGTTTACGTCAATTAATGGACCATGAAATTGTTATCAGATAGTTAATCTGTTTTACAAGGATGTGCTCATTATTGCATATGTTTTCTTTCTTTCAATATTCTTCTCTCTTTATTGCTTTTCTCTGCATTTTATGCTATTAAGAGGAGGAGAAAACATACAATGATAATTAGATGCAAGAGCGTTTTACATTTAATAGTGTGAGCGTGGGTGTGAGTTGAGGAACCCTGAACACCCACATCTAAACCCTCAAGTAGTATTTATCTTTTTCTATTAATTGTTTACAAACTTTCATCATATCATGATCAAACTATTTATCAAGGACAAAAAAGTTTTCATTTCTTTTCAGAAATAAACTAAATCTTTTCTTTTTTTTCTTTCTTTTTCGTCATTTTTATAAATGAGCAGAAATCTTAGTATCTGATATTTGTGGAGGTTTGAATGAACATGGTTTAGGACATTTTAGTGACATGGTTCATTGTTTTTATTTTTCATTAATTTTTTAAAAGTAAAAGAAATCTTTTTCAGGATGGCTTAACAATGATTCCTGTTTATTGTGTTCCTCAAATTTTATCTCATAAAGAAATATTAATTTATTCATTAAAACTACAAAAAATGTTTCAAACATGAAAAATTAATTCCTTTTCATGATGAAGATGAAATAGAAATTTGTGCTGGACCTATGCTAGTTGTTTATTATTTTGTTAATGAAATTAATGAAAATATTCATTTAGAAAAAAATATCGAAGATGAAGGACAAAGATTAAATGTTACAACAGTTAATGATTTTGTTTGGAGAAAACGAAAAGAAAATCAAGACATTTATCGACAAACATCATATAATGGAAATCGACCGATTTTATATTAAATTTTTTGTTTTTAATTTTCTTCTTCAATTATTGAAAAAAAAACTTCTCAATGACATATCAATAGAAGTGAATGAATGTTAGATCATGTCAAGAAAAAAATTATTATGTCCTATAATTGAATAATTATGAAAAAGAAAAGAAAGATACGGATGAATGAAAAGAAAAAGAAGAAACGATATTAGAAAACAGATGGAAGACAAAGGGAGCAAAGAATATGATATTATTTTCAACAACTAGTCTTGAAAGATTTATAATAATAACATAAGTTGATATTTCAATAAGTTTTGATTTATGGAGAGTTTGTCATATGGATCACAAAGTTTGAATTTTCAATTTATCATTTTTTTTCTTCTGAAGAATAAATTTGAAATAATTGAAAAGATTTTGTTCGAAGTATTGAAGCATTAGAAATTATCTGTTTGATATTTTATTTTATTTTTTATTTTGCTAATAACTGGTGACCACTTTCATGGTCTTTGTAGTACGTGAGTTAAGAGACAGAAAGGAAAGAAAAAAAAACTTGTTTGCGCAGTTCCTTTGGAGCTAAAATGTAGAACTCACATATATTCTTCAACCTTACTATTTTAATACATAGTTTGTAAACCGAAAAATTTCGTGTCGACTGTAGTTGTTTTCACTAATAATCGATGATAAGAGCGAGAATTTATTATGTATTTCTATATTTAAAATGGAAAATGTCTTTTTCGTTTGAGAACGCCCGATTTCATTTATCATTGTTGCCATATACTCGATAATAGTCATTTTTTATTGTTTTTTTTTAATTTGAAATTATTATTTTTTTTTCACCATCGACTATTTCATAAGGAAGACTATTATAATAATGCAGTTTGTATGCATCAGCAGCTCTTATCACACTACTATACTTTTCAAACTGATAAAAACATCGCATCATACTTCTGATGTTGATTATATGAGTGCTATGATAGATCAATATATTGTTCAGCTCGTCTTTTTTTTATTGTTAAACAAATCTGAAGTCTATTGCACGCAGTTGCTGAGGTCTGTAATGAGGGGAGAACCGCGAAAACTTGAACTTAAAAATTACACTCACTGTTTTCTTCGAAAACATACGTCAGTTCCACAAGATAACGTAGCAAGTATTAAGAAAGTTATAGGAAACGATACACAAACCGAAAAGTAGGACTCCTTTGCTTATTTTCGTATATATGCTACCGTCTATACTAGTGTTTCTCGCGGACACCTCAACAGAATTTTCTTTAACTGTCGGGGTAATTAGGTTCCGACTAGTGCAGCAAAAGTTGTCATAGACTCAAGATTCCAAGATATCATCTTCTAAAGAATATGTAAGTCACAAGTGTGAAAAATTGATCGTATGTACTATTGCTACTGATTTCATCTAATCAGACTGATGCTTCTTCTATGATTAGAATCACACATGACTGCCTTTCAATAGTCTCACTGAAAAATTGTTTTCTGCATTTGATAAAGAATCATAAAAATACGGGTTTGAATTCAAAACTTATTAAAACACAATGATGTCAAATGATATGTAAATTACTTGTTTGTCGGCGATAATCTTTTCTCTTGGTTCTATTGAAGATTTATTATTGAAAAAAAAACGTAGAATAAACATATTTTTCTCTTCATCCATGTTGAGACTAAGAATGTGACGATATAGTTGTATATATCAATCACTGTGGTAGTACATAGAAATCTCTCGGCTTGAACGAGATATTTGGATTTTGTTATCACGATTCCGATTATGTCTTTGATGCGCATCATGACTTGCACTGTACTCGTTCAGCTAACGAACGAAATTTTATAACAATTAATATTTATTTGAATGACACCGATGCTGATTGTACGCGATTTTTAAATTCAGAAGGTAAAAAAAAATAATTTTTGTTCAAATATCTTATGAGAACCGATTTAATGTATCAATTGAAAGCTGAGATTGATCGATAAGCAAATTGTTTAAATGATAGACGTACTCTTTCAATATCAGCTTCTTGATTCTTTTTTAAATTTTATTCATTGCTTTATTCTTGAAAACCCTAGCTCTTACTGCATACAAGATGATTATTTGACTGATTTTATCGTCATTATCCACTAGCTAACTCAGAAATGGGAAAAGAAATCGAGCTTGTTATAGTTGTTGGTATTATAGTTCTGATACTCAGCCAATATGTGGAGTTTGTGAAACTTTGCCATGCGCGTTGTAGAAAACACGAACACGATTGAATCCAAAATCTAACGTCACAGGCGAGTTATCTTGAACTTTCAGCACGTTGAAATCTAAAGTAATATGAAAAGAAAAAAGACAATTGAAATAACTTGTTGATGGCACTAAGATACCGTCTTACTTGGATTTTCTCGTTTGATTTCTTCAACGGCTTCATCTACTGGTCTGCCAACCAAAGCGGGCCACGATTGGTTTTCGAACTTTGGAAATTGTATGTTGTCCCTTAAACATGTTATGAAAATTTATCACTCTACTAGTAATATTCAAACTGTTAAGAGTTTTGGTATAAGAATTTTCAAAAATCTTTTTGTATCGTTACAATCAAATTGCACCCATAACAAAAATATCCAATCAGATAAATATCGAATTCTAAAACTTCATGGAATCACATTTTATCTTCTGAACAACAACCCTAAACTTTTCGTGTCCTGTGTGTTTCACTGAAAGCTTTGTCATGTTGAAATTTCATCGAAAATTGACTTCAATATAAATTAAATAGGATCATTCAACATAGTATAATTGAATTACTGTTCGATCTAGGATATAACAAAAAGCTAATATAGAAAAGGCTATATCCATGAAAAATAATAAGAGAACGTCTGTAGTTGAATGCGTTTTTCCCACTAAAACCTCAAACAAACCGTTCAAAAAAGCGTAATTCACAATACGCTTCATTAGTAATAAAATACATTTTATTCCCTACCATAGTTTTTTTTTCTATTCTTATATCCATATTAATTATTTTATCACCTTTATCTTCTTCTAAATACGCATTTATCAGTGATGTCTTCATCGAGAATTCTAAAAATTTCTAGAAAGATCCCTAGTGTGTCTAGCAAATTTCGAGATTTGCTGCAATGAACACAATGTATCTTTCGCGAAACATGACAGCATTTTCAGCGAAGAACTTAGTGAGAAACGTGCAACCGAACAGTGCAAATATATAAAAATAATTAATATGAATGAATCAATGGAGAAAGAACGAAACTATGACTTTTGCTAATATTCCAAAAATCATGAGACAGACATTCAGGTATATTTTCTTATTAGTTTACTTCAGTTTGTTTGGTTTTCGTCAAGGACATATGATTTGATATTTCTACAGATGTCATTCATGTCTAATCGCATGAACTATCAGATAGATAGTTTTGAAGATTGTAATAGAATAATTGAAATTTATTCAACGGAACTTTTTAAATTACAAGTTGAAACATCAATATTTATTCAAAAAAAAATATTACACATGTCTGAGTTTTTCTTCAACTCAAACATACAAAAAAAACAGGAGAAATAGGTAATGATTTTTACAATGCATCAATTTTGTTGATAAAGTAATAGAACATAGAAAGAATTACAAATAAATAAAAAAAGGAGACAATAAAATTGAAAGATAGTTGTTATCAGTATTACTCGTAAATGGTGTTTGAAGAGAACGAAGAACGTGTTCTCTCATGAATACATTCAAACAGTGGTTTTAAATGATATTTCCTGAGTATTATTTTCGACACACTAAGCAAAAATTATATGTATATCATAGATAGGCCTAGCAACAGTAGCGCATGATATCTGAAAGATTTGCTAAATATTCAATCAAATACTATTTCTTAGTAAAAACAAGATTCATGTGATTTTCTTTCTATAACAAATACAAATTTGATATAAAAAAAATGCAGAAAATCATGATATGATCAATTTTCGACTACTTCAGATGCTAAGAGCTCCATTTTGTAATAGTGAATCTTTTGCACAAAACGATAAAAGTCCTACTATTATACTTACATATTATTCTTTTGCGTTTATCGACGACTGACAGAAGGAGAAATATGTTTAGATATGCGGCAATATGTTACATCGTTGCATTTAACTGTCATTTATTTTATGATCAAGTCGATAAGAACAAAAAAGGCAAGGTTTTTTGATATTTTGCTTGCTGTTATTGAACAACATGGAATGAAAAGAGCATGACTTGTCATCAATACTCTTTATCAATAACACTCATTAGTCCTATTAATTGTCTTCTATTATCACACAACCATGTTGAGACTAATTCATATGGTGTACACGAAAGAAGACCAAAAAAAAGTTGACTTTATGTAAATCACAAATTAAATGATTTGTAAACATCATGAAAAAGGTTTATTCGTTGAATGAATGTAGCAATTTTCAAAGAATCAACTGCAAAAAAGTGACATAGAATGATTAGTCTTAGCGAAACGCGTTTTTATACGATTAAAATATCTCTGGTAGCGTTGTGATCGAGACAACGCACGTTTCTTAGCATTGATTTTTTTTGGAAATACTATAAAATACATTTATCAACATATATTAATATTAGTCTCTATTCTAAGGTGATTCATGTCAGTTCTATGGGTTCTCATGTACATTGGATTTGTATCTTCTACCAAAAGTAATTAACGTGAATTCATCACGTAATATCGAGTGCAAATCAACATATGATATTCGAAGTAGATGAAAAAGCATCATCCTAGAATATTGATATTGATCTCGAATATTTGAAATAGGCGATAATGACTGCTGCGTAAAAAGGGATGAATATGAGTATGGGTGTGAGTGGATGTAGGATATTGAAGAAACTCTCCACACTTCACAATCTTTTAGTTCTTTTTAAATTCTTCAAAGTGCCTTTTTTGGTATTTTCTTCTATTTTTCAAGGACTTTTGAAACTCAGAAGAAAACAAAAAAAAAACCTTTTGAATATCGGACGGGCTTTAGACGCCAAAGGGAATAATTGTTTTAATTGTCTTATCAAGCAGAATAACGGTTTAGAAAATGTAAAATTAGCTGAAATCATTAAACAACAAATTTTTTTCGAAAAATTATGAGAATACTCGTCGATTGACTCAGTCTTTCATTCGGATTACGAATATCAACTTTTATTTTGATTTTGATAGCATTGGAAAGAAAAAAAACTTTTCTACCAAAACTCGGTTTTGACCTTTTTCCTTGGTTAGTTGTTTTTTAACATAACATGCACCCTTTTCTAAATAAAAAACATTCCTATCTTTTGTAGAATTGCTAGGGCTACAAAATGCATAGAGTTTCGTGCTGTTGCCAGTTTTTCAAAGTGTCAAAATTTTTAAATCTTTACAAAAGTTGTGCTGAAAATCAAATAAGAGTAGTTTCAAGAAAAAAACTGTTTACTTGATTATCATGTTACTCGGTGAGCTTAAAAAGCCTAACGAATGATTTCTCCTATTTCCTTATTCGAGCTGATGAAATAATTGAAAAATGTGTTTTGATCCTTTTTCTTAAGCCAGCTATTCGATATTCGTTTTATGTGGATGCAATGCACAAGTGAAATGTGCGCATTGTAGTCCCAACTACAACACTTCTAATGAAAGGTGCTCAAATAGTTGGAAATGGCTACAGACTACTTATATGATCAAGTTACGTCCGCATGTCAAATAACATCACGTCATACATTTGTTTACATGGAAAATCACGTAACAATGTTCTTCAATAATGATTCATTAGTTTTACTTCATTGATGTTAAAGAAAAATATTGGGGTTATCGAACGTGTAAGCTATCTGATTGCTTCGTCTAGTTTTTACTCTTTATTCATAAGTTATAAATTGATATGGTATTAAAGTTTGTAAACAGATATTTTTTTCATAAGCAATGCGTCAAATGTCCATCTCATTAAGCGTGTTCTGTTGCTATAGCCGGATTAACATTTTCTCTCTCTACATTGTGCACAATTATTCGTGGTACTATGTGAAAAATGTTTGCAGCATTAATTTGATTACGTCTTAAAGTAAATAGATGTTTGAGATGCATTTTAATCGTTTCTCGAAGACGTGATGAAACGCAAAGAAAAATAAAGAAGGAAGAAGAAAAATTGAGACATAAAATAATAGCAGACACTTGATTGATAAGTAGTTCGATAGATATTCGATCGAAACTTTTTTCGACATTCTGTCCGAATGTAGCTGCCCAATACATAATGAATATGGCTCGAGGAAGTGTACATATGGCACTGACAAGAGTTTGAGAAAGCATCATTCTCGTCATTTGCTGTTCCCACATTGGCATATGAGTTTGATTAGGTTGTTGTCTAATATGAGTAACAAGACGAATATTTCGACATGTTAACAGGCCGAAAGCAATTAGAATAGAAAGTGGAAAAACAACAGCAAGCATGGGATCAAGAAAATAATTGGCAATCTGTTCAAATAAACTGCTGGTGAACCAACAATTGTAAGTAGGTGGTATCAAGTCAGTATAGATGAAAAAAGGAATATTGACAAGTGGCCAGATAAGAAAAGGTAGAGGCAAGAGACGACGAGCTATTCGAATTGAACTTAATTGGCGTATGCGAACTGATTGAGATGTAGATGCCCATCGATCGAAAGCAGCCAAACACAGAAAACTCATTGCTAAACATGCTGTTGTCTGAAGAAAAAACAAACTCAATTTGCATGCAATGGATGATGCTAACATTGATGTTGATGGTACAGCTTGAAGAAACACGACTAACAAGGCACTCATATCGGCGAGCGATTGACCAACAACATAGTAGCTAGTAGGAGATTGTCGAAGTGTTTTTATACCCATAAAAATAATAGCATTCAATAAAGCTGCTGGAATTCCAATGGAAAATAGTACAATTGGACCATAATAAGATATTAGAAGAGTGGCTTGGAAGATAGACATTCTTCTCTTTCTATTATTTCCTCTTCGTTCATTTTTATAGAGTAATTCAAGAGAATTCTCATCATCTCGCTTTTTTTTCTTCTTTCCATTACACTCTCGAATAGAATAGATTATAATATATAGTAGAAATGTCTGATTATCTCTAAAACAGGTGAAAGATGCAAACCAAGAAGCTATCAGTTCAATCCTTGCGAGTTTTAAGTATGAAACACAATAGAGCTCCTTTGTACTTTTAACAAAAAACGTTTTTGCAACGTATTTTACTGTATTGATCCCATCATACATGTAATACTCTTCTCTTCTATAATGTCTACACACCTATGGTAGAAGCGAACAACTTTGTAATTGTATATTCCAACATTGATTAACAATTGTTTTTTACAAAATATTGTTTCTAAGAATGTGTATAAGATCAGTTTGTATTTCAATTAACTTACCTTTCTTGAAATTAGAATATAATTATAACATAAAATACCTTACAAATTTCAGATCGTGTTTAGACAATTATTGAATATTTGTTACTTCTCCAAATTACTGTGATATGTACAAAACAAAATGGTATCATTTATAAAAATGACTATGCTAAAATCAAATAAATATGATAGACACACAAATCAAGTCATAGGAGTCGATATGTTCTATCTGTTTTGAAGCATTTCTCACAAGATATATGCGTGCCATTGCATGTTAGTGTTTCTTATATTCACTTTCTTCATTTGCTGATATAGTGTCTTATTGTCATTGACATACATAGTTCTATTCCTTGTCATTTTGTTTTGATTTGATGCTGGTTCATTAAATTACTCATGAGAATTGTGTTTCCGTTCGAGATTCAACTCAATTATGATAAAATTTTTTTAAAAATAATTATAAGTTAAAAAGAATACTGTACATGATTTTTTTTGAATTCATTTTCGAATGAATAAATTAGAAAATAAGAATATTAAATTAATAGTCTTATTCAATTAGTTCATTCTCTAAATTATAGTAAAAATTGATGAAAATATTCTTTGATATAAAACTTCTAAAGAAAATAATTCTCTGACTATTGAAAAAAAATCTGTTTTTTTTTAAAATTTTCATGTCTGTTTATATTGTAAATATAAATATTTATATATTTATTTATTGACTTTTTCTACTGAAACAGAATCAGTTAGATGAAGACTCGTAGATAGAACTAATAATAATGATCTTAAATACTGTTTGAAATTTTAAATAATAAACAAATATATCAACTAATGCATTGAATAAGACTTCAATTTTTATTGTCATTTGAGTATTTTGAACATTAATTCTTAGATAGGTAAATCTTAATTGATTAATGAACGTTCATTTATTAAATTAATTCATAAAAGCAAATTTAACTAATAAAGAATCATTGAACAATCAAAGTAATGAATTATACTAAAGGCAAAGTGACATTTCATTACAGATTTGACTGGATATGAAAAATGAATGATTTCTATCAAAATCAGATATTTTATATGGAGGGTGTGGGGTGTGGGTGTGGGTATGAGTGTTGGTGGGAGTATGGATAAGATCCAACACCCACACCCACATCACACATCCACACCCTAGGAAGTAAAAGAAGTATATTTTTACTCACTATAAGAAGACCGTGACCAATGAAAATAATGAGATCAATATAAATACCTGATAGTGTGCGAATCTCAAGAATCTAGCTCATACGCATATTAGCCAATTTTTCGGCAACAGCAGCTACTATAACAAGAAAGAATAGAATTACAATTTCAATACCCATGAGAACAAGTCTAACTATGCCCATTCAAGCAAACTAAAAGTCGAAAATGAACATGTCAGCTTTAATTCGTCCATTTGAATTGAAACAATAATAACCGAATAAGTTGTTTTAGCTGTTTTCAAAAACTCCTGAATACAAGCACACATACCTATGATCTCGAAAAAGACAAAACTGTCCAACAACCTCATTCATAAGTTATTTACCAAGATCTTATCAACTTGAAACTCATTAATTTTTATGCTTGTTTCTGATTTACAAAAAACACAAAGGTTAATACCATAGCAGGTTTTGTGGAATTCACATATATTTTCGAAGAAAATAGTAAGTGTAAGTTTTAAGGTCAAGGTTTGGCGGGCCCCCCCCCCCCCCCCGCAACTTCGTCAGAAAAAGAAAAAATCTCTGTTCGAAATATAGAGATAAACAAGACAGCACTTTCTGGTAATCGATTATCATTAGAAAACAACTATTATCTTTTGAAGAATTTAAATATTGAATATTTTGTGATTAGTATAATGAAATCAAAGAAAATATGTGAGTTCCACATTTCAGCCCCAAAAGGGCTGTGCTAACAAGCTTTTTTCCAAAGTCGAAAACCATTTTCTGTGATAGAAAATTTATCGAAGTTTCATATAAACATACTAATAGTTGTCAACTCTATATCAATTGCCACTGTCATTACAATGAACTTTGAAAGGTACTTTCTAAGTTCTAAAGATATATAGATTACGCTGAATAAATGTAGTAAAGCATACAAAATTTAGTTTTCTATAAAGTCTTGTTAACTTTAATTCAAATCGATGGAAAGAAAGAACTGCAACATTTAAAACAAGCGCTACAAATGTTTGATATTTTCTATTGAACTCCATGTCAAATTAGCATTGAGATTTGTCTGTAAGTAGTTGATTATCATCTATATAGGATTAATAGATATTGTCTATCTGAGTATCTAAAGAGAAAAGAAAAATGCCGGTATATGTCTTTCCATCTACTCAAAAAAATACATATTGAAAGACATTGAATTATAAATAATTGATTGTACCCTTTCGAGCACTGTTTAGTAATGCAATCCGCTCAAATATGACGGAATCACTCGTCCTTCTTTTACAGTTTTATTATTGAATTGTAGACCCGTGACAAAATGACCAAAAATAGAACTTGGATTTGAGTGTTGTGTGAAAAACTAAAAACTTTAGCTTAACTTTAAGTGTGATACAAAACCTTTCCGCAGGAAAGCTATAACTTGGATGATGCTCTATATGTAGAGGGTGTGAGTATGGCTATCAGTATTCTGTTAACATTCACACTCACACCACGTCCACATCCATATTCATAAACTCAATGCTAATTAGACTTCAATTGGCATTTAATAACAATAAGTAGATTTTATATGCATTCATCAAAGAACTTTTACTGCAAATCTATATTATGTATATTAGTATATATAAATATAGATGTCAGTCTTTGATACTAATTGCTTCATATCTACCTTCAACCACAGCACCAAAACAATTTAGAGGTATAGAAGAAAGAAAAATGTCTCCACTGTTGTGACTCTTGAAAAAACTAAAACCAAAGCATGTGAGAGGACAACTGAGAAACAACCATTATCTACCTGTTCTCTATGTGGAAAAAATTAAGGTTAAAACTAGATGAAAGTCGATTATAAACATATGCTTTTGATCGCTTTTTAATAATTTTTCAACTGGTTTTAATGGAAAATACCCAAAATAATCAAAAATTTCATTGATTATAGTTGTAATGCGAAGTGATGAAAATTGGTTGAAGGTTTTTACATTTATCATAAGTAAAAATCAATTAAAATCAATCGTTTTAGCACAATTTTTAATCAATTTTCATCGGATTTTAATTCTAATTGTTTTTAGATGAGTTGTAGGAAAACTACAAAACGTAACGTTCGTGATAAATGGAACCGGTACTAGCAACCGGCCGGTCGCACAATTTTTATCTGTATAGCTATAATAGGTCGATTCATACCATGGAATTCTATTTTATAGTGAAGTCTTCTAAGTTACCAACTTAGATTATAACCAATGCACTAAATGTGATTCCATCGTACTAGCAGAATGCATTCATTATTTCGGACACTTATTGATGTTTTTTGAACCGGAAATTACATATTAAGATACATAAACATAAATGTTCAGCTATTTCAACCTCATGATCTAAGTTACAAATTTGGAAGAGTCCACTATTAAAACAAATTTCATTGCAAGAATCGATTTATTATTGCTGCACCAGTTTATACCGATGGAGCGGTCAGTCTCGTCCAGTCTGAATTTTGTCGAATTCATATTTTCGAAGAAAATAGTGATATTTAAGTTTTATGTAGACATTTTTGTGAGTCCTTACCTCTCTTCTTGACATACTATAGCGATTTCCACCCACTCACTTACAATTTACTAGAGTTTTCAATTAAGCATTTAAATATTAGTTTAGAGAGGCTGAAGAGTTTATGTGAGTTTCGTATTTCAATCCAAAATGGGTTGTGATAACAAGCATTTTAAGACCGGCAATTGTGTCGATCTTAAGAAATCTACACCGGTTCCATCAATAACGTCCGTGAACTAATTTGTGCGGTAAAGTGTGACACAGGTTAAAATCAGTTTTGAAAAATTTTCATTTTGAGATGATGTCGAGCGGAGAAGAATGTGACATCTCCGTGGAACCACTAGATGTATCTGACATTCTCGAAACAATAGCTTTCAATTCATCCATACAAGATGAAGAACATACGTCTATTCGAATCGAAGATAGCTTTCCGAATAGTACACTACTTTCATCTGAACACAAGAGTATTTTAAATGAATTTTATAAGAAACCAAATCAGCAATGGGCACTAATCTACAAAGCGTCAATTCATGGATTTGATGCCGCTTCATTTCATTCATGTTGTAATAATAATGGGCGGACAATGACCATTATCCAATCGGACTGTGGTTATCTTTTCGGTGGTTACACCTCAGTTCCTTGGACTTCTAGTGGTGACTTTGCAAAGGATAGCACTGCGTTCTTGTTCACTCTAACGAATCCACATAATATTTCACCGACCAAATACTCAGTCGTTCATCAATATGCAGCTTATGCAGTTTGTCATAACGGTGGCTATGGACCAACATTCGGTTGTGGTAACGATCTGTACGTGGCAACGAACAGCAACTCGAACACGGATAGCTCTATCGGATTTCCCAAAGCATTCTTGGATACAACCAATGAAGGTTACAAAACCTTTACTGGGACTCGTACATTCACTACGTCGGACATCGAAATATTCAAGCGGATATAAAAATATTCCTGGGATTTTCTTACTATGTAGACTAATTTAAAAGTTTTGCTTAGCACTGTGGAAGATGATCAGATGTGACTGAACTTATTTTTTTGTCATAGAGTTTGTTGAAGACATAGTCTACCAATTGTGCAGAGATTTTTTTTATTATCCTGTTCAATAAAAATCAAGAGAGCAACAGTGGAGTTCAACACTTCTAAAGATATCATGAGATTTCAATATAATATCTGATGTAAAAGTATTGGAACAAATGTCAACTACTATCTCTCTTTTATAGAATTGTGCCGAAAGAACACTTTTCATCGATAGATACAAAATGTTTTTCTCTTTCGAATCATATATAACTAATTTTTATAACCTCTTCGCGAACGAAATTACATCAGAGAAAAGACAAGTACCCTTATAACAAATTCGTACTTGCGGGTGTGGATGTGGGTGTGTTTGAAAAGACCACATAGCTCCACGCCTACACATATATTTACTTGCTCAAACTCCATCTATTCACCTTACATCCATTTACAGTACATATTCCATACAGATGATAGGAAAATTTATATGATGGCTTATAGTGATTGTGAGTCTCAGGAGTGTTCTGAATGTCATCAGATCACCATAGAGCTTGAAGAGTTGTATGGTAAAGGAATGAACATGCTTGAGTGATAAAGCATAAAATCTATGATTCTCATTATTTAGTAATGAAATCTTCTTTTTTCCTCTGTAGTTTCTGCAGTCAATTATTAAAAAAAAAACTGTTTTGACACATCGTGTAGAGAAGAAAAACCATGGACGCGCGACTCATATGATTTTGACAGTAATGTTTACATATATTTATTCAAAGAATTTTTAGCCAGGATTAGAAATCCAGCATTAATAAAAATTACTGTCAGCTGGGTGGGAGTGAGTGAAGGTGAGGATGTAAGGAAAAGAATTACATACACCAGCACTAACATCCACACTCACATCCTATATGATTAGCTCATGCCCACACCCGAAACCATCAATTTACTATTTTGATGGAAATTTTTTTCGATACAATCCTGAGCAAAATTAGTAGTGGATTTTTCAACAGGAGTAATTCAAATTTTCATGAACCTAGTCAATATAAAATACTGATTCATATAATGACTTTAATTTTTATCCAATTCGTACGTTTTCTGATCGAAACATACAAGATAACAGTGAAAAACACTCAAAATAATGTCATCGAAACAATATTCTGTGGACAATTTTCAGTAGTTAATGTTTTTTCTTCGATGTTTTCTTCAATATATCTGATTATTATCAAGGGTCGAAAATGATATGTATCGGAGAATTATCGACTATTTCAAACGATCTAATCACCGTGTAAACAAGTACGATAGGGCTTAATCTAACAGCAGTCACTTTTGAAAATCTTGTTCCACAGTTTCGCACAGAAAGCAAGACGAATTCGTTGAAGGACTGATCTCTTAACTAATACGTCTGATCCAATGGTCATTTGGGAAACCAACTCAACTGAGTCTGTTTTCTAAGAATAAATTCAATGTATGAAAAAAAAATTGCATATCAAAGAGAAAATAGACAGACTAAGTGGCTTGTTAGGACTTTGAAAACAAATAATTTTGTGAATTTTGACGCAAATTCTTTTAAAAAATGTTAAACCATCGATTTTTTTCTGAAAGCGAAGAATATAATGTACATGGTAGACTGAACATATCATGAACGGCTTGATCAATCGCACTAAAATTTTGTTTGGATACACATAAGCATGTTATACTTAAAATAATTTTTTTGTTTACTTGAATCGACTGAATGATTTGCATTCTCTAGATTTCGCTTCTAGAGAAAGAAATCAGAACTTTAGATAGCTTCAAAATTTCAATATCTTTTGAAACGACTTGTGGTAAAATTCATAAGGCACTTGTCTTTATCATATATCATTAAGTGAACAAAACCCACTATCTTCGATTTAGCACTCGGTCTGTACATCAGTCATGACCTACATAGAATGGCTCATAAAAAAAGAAACATTCAAATGTTGTGACATCAGTTAAGTCTAAAATTCATCAACTTTTGAGATCAATGTTAATCATACAAAAATCTCACTCAATATTTTGAGAATTTATTATGAAAATAGTTTCGAAATATCTCACATTACAAATATACGTTATTTATGAGATAGTTCAAATATGAAAATGGAAATTCAACAATACATCAGTGTAAACCGTTTTTGTCTGAATTACAATCGATGACAAATACCAGTAGATCACAAAATATTATCCTTTGAATCAGTAAATGAATCGTTCACAATTGTACAATTAACTTCCGTTTGACTTATCACTTGCCAAATATCGTATATTGCTTGGAAAGTTTTGTCATCTTGAAACCTAACAAATAAATTATAAGAAAAACCTTCTCAATTATAAATTAAAACTTTCTCCGAATGCTGACCTCGAAATAACTAGAAAAGAAGAACATTTCCGAGTATTCAATGGTCATAATTAATAATGATGATATGTACAAGTTTAGTTTTTTTTTTCTCAAGACTATAATGAATAGTTTGATATAAGTCAAGATTGCTAAAGTTGAGCAAGAAGAAGGTTTGATATTTTTTGAGCGACTTCATCTTTCTTGAGAGAATCATGCATGGCTACATGTAAAGAACATTGATGTATTCATAAAACAGATCTGATGAACTTTTTCAGAAAAAGTCTAGATTTCAATGAGAAGAGTCGAATATGCTCAATCCGAAAGATGTTTCATATTTTCTATGGTGCTGCACATCAGTATATGTATTTTATTGATTACTGAAGTTTTTTTGATCATATTTAGACTTGTCTCAAAACATGATTCTTCACATTTTGAATGATAGTCGTTAAAATTTTACTTACTCAACTGTAGTTAAATATTTGGATTGATTTGTTTCGTCGGATAGACGATTTTGCATTTTAGTGGCACCAAGTTGTATTAACGCATTATTGAATTGTACGGTCATGTCTATACTAGAAGATATAGAGAGTTCAACATAAGATTGTACTAAGTACCTTCCGAATTCAATGTAAATAATAATTGCTTCGGTTTTACAGAACTTGGCATTTCAATAATTTCGGCATCGTAAAATATGGGTTCATTCTAATATCAAACAAAAGCATTTCTTATGTATAAATTCTACTTTTCAAATTTACCGTAACTGCTCTTGATATAGATTGCGCATTATGATCAATACTCATTCTAGTGTCGAAAGGTAAATATCTGTTTTCATCGTAATTAAATTCAGAAGCACCAATTAGTAGGTCAAGAAAATTTTCGACACGTTCATATAGATTATTGAATTTTTCGTATGGTACTTTGATTAGATTGCATAATTTCGATGACATTGTCGTCCAAAATGATTTATTTTCAGATACTGTTCGAAGCCATGCAAACATAAAATCTCGTTCAAGACATTTAGCAATACCAAAAATAAGTTCATTGACACCTGATGGTGGTTTTGTAACACCGAAATCTTCATCAACATGCTGCGTACTATTAACCATTGTAACAAGAGCAACTCGATCGTAATAGATAATACCATCTTCTTCAGCTGACTTGATTTGTGGATGAACAGTATTCAATACTTTACAAAATTCATCGACAATATTTTTTCGATTACGACCAGCCCACATATTTGTACAGACAAGTGCACAGAAAATATTTTTCCGATGACATTCAGAAACCATCCAAGCAACATGATCTAATACGGCAAATGAGCCAGGTGATGCACAATAAATCATACATAATGGATGAGTTTCTTCAATTAATAATGCCATATAACTACGAACGTCATTCTCGTTCCAAGATTCAATGCCTGGTGTATCCCAAAAATTGGTCTCATGAGTTATGTGACCGGTGACAATTCGAGCGGAATATTTTTGGATATTTTTTGTTGAAGACATTAAACTTGTATTCGACTTTGAAAGTTCTTTTCGACAGATTGCATTGATAAGACTACTCTTACCAACACGAGACGAACCACAAATAAGAATGTTCGATAGATTGTGATTTTCTTCCATGAATATTTATTGTCTAGAAACTAATCATGAGCATATTACAATAAATTATTCGCAGAAAAAAAAGTAATCAAAAACACATTTTATATTTTGCCTACTCAATGATGGTAGGTTCTCTTCATGTACATTCACGCTCGTATCACCTCAAGTTTTATAATGTACATAAATTTGGAAATTACTTTATATAGAAAGAAAAAATAAAATAGTCTGAACTCTTAACTAAAGTTAATATGAATAATCAGTTTTTTTTTGTGGTATTTAACTTCATGACGACAAATATGTTATAGCAGATAATTTCTAAACGATACGAAAGCAACACAATTCATGCATTAAGAAAAGTAAAATAAAAATCAAACCGTTGAAATAGATGAATATGACTCGTTGTAGTTTTGTTATTTTTTTTTAATAATTGCGTTTATAATCAATGGAATTAAAAATTTTGCAATATCTTTGCCTTCTTTCCGAAGAAATTCTTCCACAGGAGGACGACATATATTGTACATTTCTATCATTGCTTCGCACATCGTCGACCAGAATGATTCATTGTCAGCAATAGTGTAACACCAAGCAGCGAGTTTCTCATCTTTTAACGATGTTGTAATAGCAAAAATAAGTTCATTAATACCTTCGACACCTCGTTGAACTCCAAGATCTATATCTTCGTAAACAATACTATTCACTGATGTACACAGAGCAACATTTCCATAATAGTTTACATTAGCTTCGTCACGTGTCATAGTATGATAACGAGAAAGAAGCGAATGAAAATCATTCAATACATGAACACGTTGTTGTCTTCCTCCACTGTATTTGTTTGTACAAACAAGAGCACAAAAAATATTTGATTTAATACATGCATCGACAAGCCATTGTAATAGATCGAGTCGAGCAAATGAACCTGGTGATGCACAATAGATCATACAGAGTGGTGTACTCTCAAGCATAATTTTCGTAATATGCTTTTGAACATTATCTTTAGTCCAAGATTCAATACCCGGTGTGTCCCAAATCGTAATAGAATATTCAGTCGCATTTGTAGCCTCATTTACTGAATGACAACTTCGATTTAACACATACTTTTTCATTTCATCAGTTACAGAACATAAACTACTACTTGTTTGAGCTACTTCTTTTCCACATAAGGCATTAACAAGAGTACTTTTACCAACACGAGCAGAACCACAAATTGCTATATTAAACTGCTTGGCCATGATTAAATGTGAGAAAAATTATCTAGAAAAAAATCAAAAAGATGTTTACTATATTATAATCAATCATAAGACAAAAGACAAATTTAACACACGATTAGACTGAGTGTTTTTTGTTAATTTTAGAAATATATGTCATCATATTTTGTACAATTGGCTGAATCGATTCATCGTTTACATTTTTCATATCTTTAATACGAAGCGCAATAAAACCACTAACTTTCTGATTAAATTTTTCCCAAAAACTACGACGATATAATACGGCATTACACCAGCCAAGTAATTTTTCATTATCAAGTGCTTCCATTATGCAATAAATGAGTTCATCAACACCTTGCACCGGTTTTCTTTCTGATGAGTATTCAGGATCGTAATATTCAATTGAATTGACCATTGTACAAAGTGCACTATTACCAAAAACTGTTACTTTGTGAGGAATTGAAGACTGTAATTGATCAAAGGAGTTTTCAACGCTCTCACCAAAAATGTTCAATTCTTTTTCAAAGTCACGAATGATATCTTTTCGAGAGGCATTTGACCACATATTCGTACAGACAAAAGCCCAAAAAATTTGTTTTTCCTGACAAAATTTCAATACTGGACGAACTTGTGACAAATCAGCGAACGTTCCAGGCGCAGCACAATAAATAACACAAACAGGTTCTTTCTCTTCAATAAACTTGAGCATAGCTGTTTCTCCACCTTTATTTTCCCATGATTCGATACCTGGCGTGTCGTAAAAATTAACTCGAAATGGTTTTACATCAGGTGTTTCTTGTTGATTATCTTCCAAATAGTAACATGTTACTTCTTTCGTACAAGAATTCAAACTTGGACTTGTTTCAGCTTTATTTTCACCGTTACATATCGCATTAATAAGTTGACTTTTACCAACACGTGGTGAACCCATGAGAATAATATTGAATTGAAGTTTTTCTTTGATATGATCTACCTCAGTTGGATAATAATTCTTACAAAGATTTTCTTGTATTTGTGAAGTTTTGCCGCGTAAAGATGAAACGACGCTTTCTTTAGTCTGTGTTGTTTGTGTTGTTGAAGTATTGACCAGTTCTTCATCTCGATGTAATTTTATTATTTCAAAATATGGGCTTATTTCATTTGAAGAGTCATTATATGATTCATTTTGTTCTCTACCCTAAAAAAGCTCATTAAAATCAATGCATTTTCTATTTATTTCAACTAGAAAGCTTTGAGTCAGTTTGTAAAAACATAAACTGTAGCTCCTTTACCATATCTTTATGTAATGGCTCATGATATTTACTCACCATCCTATTAGATACATTGTGTTCTAAAAGATAAAAAAAAAGAACATATAGATTTATGAAATAAACAAATCCAATCCTACGTCTATCAAATGTTGATTTATCTTTGTTAGAACTACTAGAGTTTGTATCGTCTTCATCTAGATCGACACAATTATTGTCCACATGAAAGGTATAAATTGCTCGTCGTACATATTTTCGACAAATGGGACATTTATTAGTCTTATTACCGCATCGAAATAAATGAATACCCATGGCGTCTGAGGTTAAAAAATATTCATCACAAAGTTGGCATGGATATCCTTGATGATGACAGTTTGTCTTCTAAAACAACTTTATTCTTTTTACTAGTTATTTTCAATATTTGCTGACCTGATGTTCATCTAAAGCGATTTGATCATCGAATTCTTGCTTGCAATTGCATGTAAATCTGGATGCTCTATTGTTTTGAGGGTACATTGCATTCAACGTGTTTGTACTGGATTTAAAAAAAAAAGATAAAATTTTAACTAGCTTCTTACATTTGAGACAAGATTTACTCAGCTAGACGGTCGAAAAACAATATTTCATCTAGAATAACAAAATATTCATAGATTTGATCATGTAGAAATAGGTGCCTTATAGAAAGTTAGTAGATACACTTTTCAGATTCCATACGAGTGCTGGTCTCGTAAAGGAGTGGGCCTCTTGGTAGTATCAGATTATGAATGATTCATATACTCCTATACTAAGGTTACATTGGGATATCACATTTCATATCAGAAAAAATATTAAAAAATAGTCAGTGATAAATAAAAATATTAACCTGTTAATTTCTTTTTGAAACTAAATAGTAAATCTTTCGTGGCATAAGTTTTCGAAATTCACCAACATTGATGGATGATACAAAGTTTCTGCAACAAATATTTTGTATTTTTTTTTTATATAGAGAACAGAAAGTATTCTTCAATAACAAAGCACAACAAATTTAATCCAACAAAAATGCTTTCGTAATTCAGAGTTTCATTCAAGATAAAATGCAATGTAACAAATCATACATTCGTTTTAGAACCAGTGGAGTGAGCCTCAGCCAATTCAAAATGTTAAAATGAATGACTGATCCTTCCATATTATTAAAGGACTTATCCAAGCAGAAAAAATTGTTCAAAAACGCGTTTAAACGCACAAAAAGAGACTTAAAATCCTGGAACAATGGGTGTGTTTGGCTCACAATTACGGTTTCCGACTGTGAGCCAAAAACGTCCACTTTTCGTCCTTTTTGTGCGTTTACACGAGTTTATTCGCTAAAAACCCATGTAAACGCACAAAAAGGACGAAAAGTGGGCGTTTTTGACTCACAGTCGAGAGTCGCAATTGTGAGCCAAACACGCCCATTTTTTTCAGGATTTTTAGTCACTTTTCATACATTTAACCGCGTTTTTGAAAAGTTGTTTTTCTGTCTGGGTCATCGTTCTGAGAGACGAAAAATGAAATTCCTTTTGTTCGTCAGATTCATCTTAAAGCAAACTGTATCTAATACTGGCGCTGGCAATAATTGAATAAACGCACCTCCGTTAGAAAGTTTTGAAAAGTTTCTACCTAGTCCAATAAAGCTTGAAGAAAAGTGTAAAAAACTTAATGAAATTTCATCGAAATAGTGTTGTTAATGTGTTGAAACGTGGAAAGACAGTTAAGAAAACATAAGTTTACGCGTATTTTTCTGAATCGATTCTTTTATATTTAACATTCATTCGTTGTTGTTCGTTTGTAATTTAAGTAATTCATCAGTTTTAAAAGTATTCGTCTCTTGAGATTAGTTTAAGCGTAAAATATTTAGTTGATACATTTAACTGCCAGAGTTTTCTTAGAAACATTAAAACTCTAGATTTTTTGTTTCGACATGAATAAGTGACGAAAGTTGTAGAAGACCACATCATTAAAAAATGAAAAAAAAATACATCTAGAAGTTAAATATGGTTTAAAGTATCACAACAACACTGTGCAAATAAAAAACCCTGAATGCTTGAAAAGGGTCTGATAAAGGTTAAAGACCTGTTTATTTTCTCGGTACCAGTTTACTTCAGACGTACGAGAACATGAAAAGAAATATATTAGTCAAAAAAACAACCAACGATAAGAATCAATGAAAAAATAACAACGATAAAACTTATAGATGCCTTGTATAGATGACAGTGGTATATGGAGCTGCTCATAAATTACCTGATGATTCCTTTTTCAAAACAATTCTAATAAAAATACAAAAAAAAATGATTAGACAGGGTAAAGCTGAGTAATTAACTTGACAAGATATTTTAAAGAGAACTCTCCAAAATTTTCACATCACATCTATTCTTGAAGATAAGATTTTAACATAATACGTTGAATACCAAATGACTTTTTTGATTTGTATTTCACCCATATCCTGGGTGTGGATGTGGATAGGTTTGGGGTATGGATGTAGATAAACACTGACTCAAAATCCGAAATTCTCATCCCACCTACACTGACACATATACCCACATTCATACCCATACCACACCTATCCAGACTCAGACCCATCCCACACCCAGTCAAACTCTTCATGCGTTTAGACATCTTTATTTCGTGAACGCTTTTCAGTTACAGACAGAAACTTCGATTTGCATCCTGAACTGCTCAAATTTTTCATTGATTTACAATTTTTTTAACTTTTTTCTCCCTATTGTCGTTTCTTTTCTGATATGTTTTTTCCATGAATTTTTCTATCATGTATACGATTCATATAATAATAATAATATTATATGATACATAGACAGATTTGTCTCTTTTTCGGTAACTTACCTTCAAACCTAACTAGAAAACTACCTACATGGTTAACTATCTAACTAGATAAGTATCTACTTAATTTTCAATCTAAACATCGAGCTAACTATCGACTTACCGAATTTTCTATCTATCATTGTAACAAACTACCTGCCTAAAATGTTGAAGTAGAAAAAAATGATGAGTGGAAAAAGAAGTCTCGTTTCATTCTCCGCACAAATATTTGACTTTGCTAAGTGTACCAGTTATATCTAAGCGTTTGTTATCAGACGTTGTTTTCTTCTTCTTCTTCTATCATCTACAAACACAAACATTTATAGCAGAGAAAATTTAGTGAGATATGAGAATCGTAAAGTGTATGACAAATACTTCCATGTATATAGTAGTGGAGGAGGAAATTAACCGGTAGAGGAATAAAATGTAGCGAATGTTGGCAGCAAGTTAGAGAACATTAAGTGACAGAATGAGCTCAAGTACATAAGTATTGATTATTATCGATAACTGAAGTGTTTGCGATTGTACCTGACACTTTTATTAGGTATATAAATCTATGATATTAAAATAAATAAGACCATTTGACAATAAACGATACTTTGCTAATTGATCATATTATTGCTTCTTAGAAGAATGTGAAAACGAATAACTGACATAGTAGAGCATTTGTGTTCAGAAAATAGACCGTTGTTTCATTTTGTCTTCTATATTTTTTCCAGAGTGCAAAAACTTCTCAAGATCAAGTAATCTATTTATGTAGTTCTATTGAACTAAAACTCTCTTATTGTGTCCATACAAAGACAAATTATTTTATTAGTATTTTTTAGTAGAAAATATTACTTATAAACTGTAGGATATTCAATTCAGATGAATAAATAACTTCTATATTCAAAGAAATCCACTTGAATGTTCAATTTGAAACAGGATTTTATCTCTCTCATTTATCATCGTATAGTTTGGTCTCTTCAAGATGAGTAATGCTTCGGTACTTGATTCTCACTTAAAATAAATTTTTTTAGAATACCATACTTTAAAATATTGAATTGATCAATTTACAACGGCGAACTTTAATTTTCTTATTTCAATCTTATGCGTAAGAGTTAGCCGAAGACATAACTAAACTTTCAGTTATTTTAAATATTTGGTTGCCGTTTTTATATCGGTAATTTTCTAGTTTGAATTATTTAGTTGCATGTCATACATGTATTCATGTTATCATCAAAATTTGAATGAAAAAAGAGGCAAGTCTATGATGCAAATTCATTAGCCTAGACAAACTAGGATAACTTACATACATTCGTTTAAATATCAAATATTTCAACCATGCATACTACTAGAGAGAACAATATGAAAAACAAATTTATACATAACCATGTTTGAGCTTTGAATTTTTCGATATTTACAAGATTCTTTTTTTTTTCGTACTTAATCGCTAGAAAAGCATGATTTTGTATGTACTAACACTTGTCTAGCAGCTACAGTCAATTAAAAATCCGCGAAGTTTCGAGACTTAAAATTTAGCTTTCGCACATGCTCATATTTATCTGTATTAGATAATTTACAAGCTGAAAATTTTTAGCTGTCGTTTAATTGACACGCATTGGAGAGAAGATGAATGTGAACACGCTCATTAAACTTAGTCTTTGAAAATTTACACACCGATATATATTCGAAAAAAAACTTTGTAACCGTTCACATTCAGATCTTAGATCTCTTGGTGTTTACACGACCAATCTTTTTCACACGTGTTTTAATATTTAAAAAAGACTTCTTCCGAGCGTTTACATGTATTTTTGCAAGATCTTATTCGTTTCTGAATGGCGGCTGATCGTTGTAAGTTTGTTTTGCAAAAAACGAATATAATACGTGAAAATACTATTTTGATGCTCTTCAATAAGTTACGGTCAAGAATATGCACTTTTCTCCGTACACTGGAGGAAGACAACAAATAACAAAGTGATGATGTATTTGCTTCATTTATCGACACTATTTCAATGTTAACCGATTGTCAACTGATTATTGTAGTCTCGCTTCAGAAACATAAAATGATTTTTTTTTTAATCAAAACACATGACATCTTAAAAATACAGCAAAAAGATCCAAAAGCACCTGTTTATTGGAAAGAATTTCGAGAACGCTCAGATTGCGGTTATTACGAAATAAACAGACTTACAATGGGTAAATAATCATAGAAGTAGAAGGAATAAAATGTCTGAAACTGAATGTGCGCTTTGATGTGGACACAATCTTCAGTCGCGCCCACACTCATACCCTGAAGTGAACACGTCAAAGGAGTACAAATAAAAGCAACGATGAGTTGTCATTTTACTCAGTTTTACTTGAAAATTATTGATAATTGTTTTTCTTGTCTCAATTTGACAAGAATATGATGTCGTCAATGTATCATTGATTACGAAAATATTTCATTCAATAACTCAACATTGCCAGAAAAATTCATTCATTGATAAATATTTTAATATAAAAGAACGATTGAAAGCATCCGTGTCATCACATCGTGCAAAAAAATACCGGCGATTATATTGCGATTTTTTTCAATTTTTCAGAGAAAATTCTGATTATTCAAATAATATTTACGACGATCGAATCTGGTCGTAGTATTTGGAATATAAGTGTGGATGTTATTTCGATTCACCTCACAAACAACAAATGAAATCTTTCTTTTTATTCACAAGGAAAATAACGTGGAGTCAATACTTGGAATAGAAAACTATACATTGCAGTTTGAAAATTAGACGATTATTTTTGCTAAATTTATTGATCCAAATATGATGGAAAATACAAAATATATTAAGAGTCACATTGATTTTCATCCAACTTAAATCGTTTATGACTATCTTCGATGTGATTTATTTTCTTTCCAATCCATATAATATCACATCCAGCATGTCTTTGAAATGTTGAATCCTTAGTATTCTGATTAAACCAACCGATGACTTCTTGAGAAAATTTTGAACGTGTTATTTCAAATTGCACAACTGTGAGATTCTGACATCGTTCTAAAATGATTTCAATATAATTTAATTGGTTCATCGGTATTTGTAAATGTTTGATCTGACGTGGAATAATTGAACATATACGATTTAAATATGGATACAATTCATATTTACAATAACGACTATGAACTATTAACGTTGAAAGGGAATATGCTTGTTCAAGAATAGAAATAATATCAAACAAAGTATTTTGATTATCTTTATGAAAACAATGACTTTCTAATTTAACTTCCACCAATTTGGAAACATTGATTATTGGAGTAAGCAATTTTAGTGAATCCAGAAAAGATCGTCTTTCAATTGTTAAATTAAGTTTAGTGACATTAGGAAACATCACGCTGGCTTGTGTTAATCTCTACAAATAAATAAAAAAAAAAATAAATAATATATTTCAATAAAATTCATCTCATAACAAACTTCTTCTGTCATATTTTCAAATGTTGATGATTTAAATGGTAAAACAAGTTCAGTGATATTCTTCGTTGTGAATGGATCATTTTTCAACAATGTTGTCAAGTTTGAACGATAAGTATGATATGAATCAAATTCATATTGAAGAACAGATTTACAAATTGGTATCGAATAAATGTGAATTCTATATGAATCATTAGAATGTATTTGAGAAACTACAAACCACTTTTTATATTCAATCCAAAATGGACTTCGAAATGATTCAATTATTAATTCAAGATCTTCTGGCATTTGAGAAATTGATTTTGTAATATCAATAAAAAATTCAAAATCATTCAAATAGGGAAGATTTATTTGAATAAATTGTTCACATCGTTTACCATCTAATTCACATTGTTCACCTATTAATTTTAGATAAATAAGTGATGGCATTAAGACAAGAAATGATTCAAGTTGATCGATTGTAACATGTAATTTTTCTATGGTCAATGAAGTTATTTGTGGAAAAACACATATCTCTTTCATATTCTTAATGAACTTTGGTAAGTTTTGTTTTAGAATAAGTGTATGTAATTGAGAAGAACATGAAAAAATATTTAACATATTGTCAAAACTAATCTCAGAATCTATAACTAAATAATTGATTCTACAATTGACAGGCCATGATATATTAGATATTCGATCATTGTTTATACTCAACTTAATTTTTCGTATATTAGATTTTGCTAAAATTGATGAAAGAAAATTTGCTGTTGTTTTTTTTCGTCTACTATCATATTGTTGAATATGTAATGAAAATGAAGTCAATAAATTTAAATTGATACGTTTTAAAATCATGTTCAATTGAAATTCTTCAATACCAATAAATGTTATTGAACGAAGTCGAGTAAATTGTCGAAGACGAATCAATGAAATAAATAAAGTTATTTGTTTTGGTGTGTATTCATCATTACAAAGTCTTAATGATAAAACATTCTGTGGATTAATTAAACGACACAATAGATGAAAATTTGACTTTGATATTAACTTAAAATCCAAATTATATCGATCATAACTATTAACCATTGCTCGAAATAATCGACATACTGATCGAATTGAAAATAAAATAGTTTGAGCATCAACACTATCAAAAATACGATGAAATATTTCCACTGGTAATATTTGTATCGATAGATTCATATTATTAGACATTGGAGATAGAAATATTCTATGTTGGAAGTTTCTATGCTTACTGCTTACGAATACGAGTAGTTATGAATGTTCCGATACAGAATCATTTCTTTTTACCTGTGACAAAGCAAAAAACAGAACGGAAGAAAATATTGTTTTTTTCTTTTTCTCACGTGCTATTTATGTTGGAAAGTAAATTGAATGAATCATTAATTTAATATTGGAATTTTTTTCGGATTTTTTAAAGAAGGTTTATTAGTCAGATTGTTTTTCGATATTCTCTTTCAAATATTACCTCTAAAAGGAAGTCTGGTAGCTACAGCACCTATAGTCGATGGTGGTGTGTGGGTGTGGATCATCTTTTTTGCCATATATCCCATTCACACCGCACATCCACCCCGACACCCGCACCATCCACACGCACACTCATATAAGTGAGGTGCCTCTGTTATAGAAGTGCCCATATAGATAAATTTTACTGCAGTTGTTTTGTTAAACCACTTGATGAGACTTTTTGTAGTTTGCTTGGCACATCCTACACCCACACTCTAATTAACTGAGGCATCTTCTGATTCAATGTTAGCTTAAATGAGTGCATTAGCAAACAGAAAACTAGAAAATTTCGAAACTCTAAGTATTTACGCGCTTTCTGTTGGTTCTTTTTCACTAGGAAGAAAAGTGAATAAATGTCCACAACGAAGATAAAAAGTTCAAATACAATAATATGTTAGTATGAACTGTTTAACCGCTCCATGACAAGGATCATCACTTGAAAGGTCATTACCAGGTATGAGTGAACAAAATGTTTCAGTGCCTTGAGAATTACAATAGGAGATGACCTTTTCAGTGACCTCTGACATCCCACAATTAGGCACCCCATAGTAAGCGACCACAATTTGCAGTGATGTATATGGCTTTCGACAACTTATGTTGATCAGACCGTTTTCGGATCCCAAAACCGTCCGAATAGCTAAATACAGAAATGCAGTATAAAAACGTGAGACCATAAATATCAAAAGTCATTGAGGAAGGGTGAAGCTTACACGGTATAGTAGGAACTTTAGTATCGTCCCTAGGTTTGTTCAAAATTGACTGGAATCTTTCAGATGGTGAAGTCGACGCAGGACTTATCATTGTTATCAGTGAATTCGTACTGTTTGAGTTATGTTGCATAGAGAAACAGCAGCTATTGACAATGAACAGGATTACGTAAATGAGTTGTTGGACTGTCATTATTCTTCTCGTGCTTGTTCGATAACGATCGAATACAACTATGAAGTTGTGTGCCGATATATACTGTTATTATATATAACCAGCTGTTATATGCTGATTATTGAAGAAATAAATAATCAATTTAGGGGGCGTATAATTTTCGACAAAATTATATGCACTGTCATATGCAGACTTCCTAAAAGCCCCATTTACTCTCAGTTGATCATGCTACATTACATCTTGATGTCACAGGAGACTCTATTGTGTATAAACTCCAGCGAACCTCATGAAAAAAAATAAGACTGCTGAAAACATGGGCAAATGAAACAGTCGCATGAATGTCTACGTTATTGGATCGAACCACTTATGATTTAATGTATAGCCCCTCTCACTTGTAATACCCAACTTAATCACTTCTGAAATTTTCTATGGTTACGAAACTTCATTTATTCTGAAAACGAAAAGCAGAAGGGTTTTGATAATTATACACTTGAAAATCAGTGAGTATGAGCATCATACATTGTACATTATTGCTCCTGAAATAGATTTCAAAGGCCATCTAATACGAGAAATAGGAACAACATGAGAATTTCAGATTTCCATCAAGTATATCTAATTTTTGCAACATTCATCATGCATATAAGTATGGTTTAATCTCTAACGCATGACTCTACACCAGACATGTGCGAGACAAGGACTAAAAGAAAATTTGGTCGTGCAGATGTCTGTCGTCAACAAGAAAAATACAGAGTACGAGCATTTAACAATTATTACAGATCCAAGATCATTATATTCTGCAACAGTTTCTCTAAATCCAGGCAAGTAACAGAATAACTAAAGACACTGAGACCGGAACTATGACCGAAAAAAGTTTTACTGGGATCGGGATCAAAAAATGATATTTTATCAGAGCCGGGACCAAAAACACTTAGTCCTGCACATGTCTACTTTGCATCGAGGATGTTGGTTTGAGTAAGTGTGATTCTTCTCTTCAACTACGCCCACACCCTCAAATACAGAATGACTATCAAACGAATGAAACATGATCATGAGTTTTTGATATCTCAAAAAGACTTCCACATAGAATGTTATTATTTCTATTAAAACAAGATTCAATTATCTACTAATTTTTAGTCCGTGTAATTCGTTGAATATATGTGAGAGGAAATCGTCTTTATGAATTTAGTTTATAAAGACTTGAACAAATGTTCATAAGTAAAAATTAAAAATTTACTGTGTTGAAATGTTTTATTAGAAAGGCAATCACTTTTATGTGATACTCGACCATACATTATTTGATATCAAAATTTTCGTAACACGATTTTTTTCTGTAAAAATGACAATCAATGCATCATATATTATAATTATGAGTCCTTATCATTCACAAGACCGAACATTTGCTGAGTTTTTAGTCAAAATAAAAACACTTCTTAAACAAGGTATACTTTGAATACAATCGATATTTTCTCAATGGAGCCAGATGGTGCAGAACATGTGATTATCGTACATTTGAGAAATTTTTCATTTTTTTCCAGTTAAGAGTCCTTCTTTTTATTGAAGAAAGAATTGCATTTTCGTCTTCTTTTTTTTCTTAGCCACATTTCTGTCTTTTTACCACTCATGAATAAAGAAAAATGGTAAAACATATTTCTTCTTATGAAAAAACTATTCAAAATACAGTTTCTTTTATTGGATTAATTGCATATTTAACTGTAACATATTAGAATAGTGTCTTGTTTGAATAGGCAACAACGAGCAATTTTTAGCCGGTGTCAGTGATTTCGTTTGTCATAACCATCTTTTCAATAAAAACATATAGTATTTTCGGAATGAACATGAAAGATGACATCGATCTGTGTGTCATAGACCTTCATCCTGAAGTAGGAGAGCGTTAATATTTCAACTTCATATTATTCCTTATAGAGAGGAGTCTTAATAAAATACAAATAAAAAAAAGATTGAATTGATAGGTTTTTTTTAAAGTTATGTCTGTCGAAGACGTGCTAATATTGCTTTTCTAATCAACTTAATTTGTCATCGACGATGTAGATTTGATCATGAATCGTGCTAAAGCCACTGTAAAAGTTTCAGGATCCTGCAGGAAAGCAAAATGACTTGTTCTTGGTAGAATAAGTTCTCCTGCTTGAGGTATCCAAAGAGTCATCGTATCAGGTTGATCTCTATAGATAGCTTCTTCATGATCACCATCTACAATCCATACGAATATATTCGATGGAATCTTTCCAAAATCAGTTTGACTCCAATTCGGAAGAGTAGTCCACATTGTTGTTAAATTATTATATAAATTCTGATAATCTTTCACAGGATTCAGTTGTTCATATTCGATTCGAGTACGTTCCAGATAAGCATTGAAAACAGTCGATGAAGAAATATCTTTCACACCCGATGTAATATAATTTGCTGCAAATACAAATAATGAAATCACTCGATTAGGATAGTTCATTGCCAGATTGAGACCAATAATTGCACCATCACTCCAACCAACTATGTGAACTCGACTAATCCCAAGATAGTTCAATAGACCGATGACATCAGTCATCATCAAATCATAAGTAATACTGCTAGATGATGATGTACTTCTTCCTTGCCCTCGAGAATCCATTACAATACATTTGTAAGACGATTTCAGTCGTCGAATTTGAAGTCCCCAATAATCACTGTTGGCGAATCCACCATGAAGGAAAAGAACAGGAGTACCACGTCGTGGTCCATAAATGTTATACCATATCTGAATATTATTGATGTTTGCATATTGACCAGTTCGAGGTTGAGGAAGTTTAGGCGTTGGTGGCAGCGTCATCCAGGGATAGGGTGAATCGATTATTGTTGAACCATCTACGGTGATTGCTGCCACCAGATAAAATAGCATGCAAGTCACTACATGCATTTCTGTATTGCTTTTATATTGTATTGAATTAATAATAATAAATAGTAGATTTATTATTCGTCTTCTCTTCTGTTTTTTACGTGCCTATATATATATATGTATCTCACAAAGCCAAAAACGTCAAAGAAAAAAAAATATAATAAACGTCTGTCGTGACGTATTACAGCGACTATATTAAAAATGTAAACAACAACACGAACGATTTTTTATGTTAATGATACGCAAATTGCGCATAATAAAAATCATAAATCATTGAATTACTCAGTGATTGTATTATGGATTTCACCTACTCAATAAAATAAAACCTGACATCAATACATATAGTAGTAAGACTACATGAGCTATATAAAAAGTATGTAGAATGAAATCATGGTAATTTTGATCAACTCTGCAGTGAAATATTGTCTACTGCAAGTCAACGGTCAACGCACATCTGTCATATTGAGAAATGTTCAAAACAGGATTTATATTGTATATAAGTTAACAAGCACATAACAAAAGTACTTCAATTTTTTCTCGAGATTAGGTATGGAATTCTTGGCATATTTGGAAGAAGGAACTATTTTGAACTTTTATCTCAATTCTTTAAACTGAACAAGTCAACATGAAATTCTAAGTTCGAAATAACTATAATAGTATACGTTTGTATGATTTTTTTCGTTTTTTTTATCTCATTAAGAAGGTATAAAATAAAGGTAATTAATATACAATAGTAATATAGCTCTACTTATTATTTTTATATTTACAAAAAGAACGATCATTAATCAAGAAGAAAGAAGAGAGAGTGCAATGAAAAAAATTTAGATAGAGAAGTATGAGTAATGCGAGGCCTTTCGAATTTTGTCTTTCGTCAAGCGAGTATCGGCGTCTAATTGGTTATTGAAGACACGTAAAAAAAAACAATGAAAGAAATAGAAAGCGACAAAAAAGGTCATTATTTTGTAATAGTTAATGGGTCTCAGAAATGGAGAATATTATGGGAGGTAGAGATAATGCAGCTTAGGATAGAGAAATAGCTTTTGAACGAGAATGAAGGTGCAAATTTGATGTCGGTCTATGAGAGAATATCTTGTCCAATTTATTTTTCTAACTTCTCAATAGAAAAACAAATTACTTCATAGCTAAAAAAAACACAGTACTAATTAATAAGAGGAAAAACTTTTCCTATTGAAGAACAAATGATATAAAAAACAACGGAGATGATGAATTCTTTATCATAGTGTTTATTTTGAGTGATTTATTGATTTTTTTCATGATTCTTCTTGATTTTCATTATTAACTATTCGAAGGTGTAGCCAAGATTTTGCCAAGAAAGTGCACAATATGCGTGAATATTTTGGATTTTCTCCTACTCTATTCGTCTAAAATTGTTCTTTTATTCATGAAAAAGATATTAAAAAAAACAAATATTTATCCAAGATGAAACTGAAAGAAAAGTAATTTCTATTTATGAACTCGAAAATTTGTTTCACCGCTTTTTCTTGCTAAAAAGCGTTGATAACATGCTTTATATGCGAGTTTATTTTTTATTCTTTTCATTGTTGAGAATGATCTTTCTGATGTGGTATCAGTCTTCTATTTCGAATAAAACAATTTAGATTAATATAAAATAATTTAATAGAAAGAAAAGCATTTCAAGTGACCATGGCATTTGATAGTGTTTCATCTGCTGAAGTTCTTTTCCACTTGTGCTACCACGACTCAAATCATACGTTGACAATATCAATATCGTTTGATGGTAAATCCCTCTTGTAAGATTTACATAGAGATAATTCCATTAAGTTTATACCACTTATCTAGAAAAGATTTCGGTTTAGAGTTTTGATTTGCTAGTTTGTTTGAAGACAGCGTGGAAGTATCTGGGACACAACAGAAATGTATGTAACTTTCTAGGCTTCGAAGAATTATCAATAGATATGGTACATATATAGGTGATTTTCGATGAAAAATTGTATTCTTTGTGACACAAAAGTGAGAAAATGTTTTCTAAACATAAATGCTCCTATTATTTTGACAAAAACCACAAAACTGACAGTTCGCAATTCCGATATATTGTGGTCTACCAATTTTTCATACCGTCTTCGGATTAAACAACAAACTATTAACAATAGCTGTTAAGTTTTTCTGACAGAAAGGCGGACGACTTGTAAACTAACACATCTTTCAAAAAAGTAATACGGATCCTATTAAATTATCTATTTACGAATATGTATGCTCTATTATAGCCCAATAGTGAACTTTTCCTTATTAAAAACTTGAAGATTTTACATTTAGGTAATTCATACATTCAGATGAATATCGAATAAAAACTGTAAGATACAGTACTAGTTTGCATCCTTGTTATTTTTTTGTTTACAAGGATTCCAAAATTGGAAACATCTTATTGATGATAGTTTGGTTCGCGCCCTTAAGGAATAATTAGTTCATGGTAGATTTATATAATACATAGAGTATGACAAAAAATTGTTGTCTCATACTTGCTAAAAAGCTGTTAGCGCAATCCCTTGCGGGATTAAAAATGTGAAACACGATGGACCTATTGTTACTAATTAAATGGAAATCCTTTTGTTCCATTTCCTTACGACACATTTGTAGCTGACCGTATATCTGATACTTTACAACTACAGTTTCTGTATCACAGTCTGTGATGGGTACCCGGGTTCTCTGTCACGGTCTGTGATGGGTACCCGGGGTTCTCTGTCACGGTCTGTGATGGGTACCCGAATTCTCTGTCACGATCTGTGATGGATATGAATTTTCTCTGTCACAGTCTGGGGGGGGGGGGGGGGGGGGGGGGGGCTAAAATTTTTACCCTAAACACTTCAACATTCCTTTCAGATCGTGTTTCACAAAAACATTGTAATAGAATGACGACTTTTTACTGTATTAATTCGTAATTTTCAAAAGCCAAAAACTTCATTTTCTAGATATGTTTCGAGTAAGGAAAATTAGATAAGCGCAGATAATCAGTATGAAGTGCCAGCTACATGTACACAAAACATTAAATTAATAACTGCAATCATCAAAATAGTTGCTTCTGGATTCCTTTTTCTGTCCATTATGCGTCATATCCTTATATGGCATATGCTACACACTTGAAGACTCATTTTGTTTAAATAGAATGTTTGCAGAAGGTAGAATCCATATGACTCATTAATATTTTTTCAGGGACTTTTCCAAGTACCATTGCTGATTTGAAAACTCTATTGAACTTATGCAAATTAATATTTAATATTATTTGTAATATGATCTAAATATCTGACTTTCAACTTGACATAGAGGGCCATTATTATTTTGTTATTGGTTAAAATACAGGTGTGTGATTATGTTCGCTGATTTTATTTTTTCTTATTTAAGTCAACATAAGATGTCTTAACAATTTCGGCCATCTATGAAAATATCAAACGTTAATGTACTATGGTTTTGATCATTACAAACGAAGAAGTAGAAGATTATATTTCTTATGTCGATTCATAGTTAATTTCTTGTCACTTTTAATATGAGAAGAATTACTGGTGCAAGAATCGGGACATTATATTGGAAAAGGTATTTTTGTTTTGGTCTATATTGTGGTTGAATTAGTGAGAACGAATTTAAATTAGGATATTAATTTATCATTTCATGGCAGAACAGAAATAGACAATGCTGATATAAGATTCTATAATGAAAGGTAACTAAAAAGTGTCAGACTTTTTTCTAGGATGATGAAGTGAATGCAGAACAAGGTTCAAGATCTCTATGAACTATATAATTGTTATGAAGTAACATCATATAATGCTTAAGTATTCATATATTTCTTTTCTAAAATATTTTATAAATATACAAACTTTCTTTTTTTTATCATTTTTAAAATAACTATAAGTGTTTGCATGTGTGTTTTTTCGATATGTCTTCAAAAAATCCGTAGAAAATTGAGAATGAAAAATTCATTTGTTTTATTTCTATAAGTAATGCTCCAGTAAAATGGTACAAATTCAATGGGTAAGCAAATCCAATATATTAGAAATGATAATTATGTTAGAATTGATATAACAAAAGAAGCAGAGATTAATATTACATTTCTTGAAATAGCTGTAAATCAGAAGGTACATATATATAGGAAGATTCGTCAGCATTCTGTATTCCAATCCGACGTAATCTAGGAAGTTGTAGAGTTCGCCACTGTTCTCTGTTAAAATGAAATTTGTTTTATCAAGAGTCAACCAAAAAAAAAAAGAAAAGAGCTTTAAACTTATGCTTCTTAAGTAGTATTTTTTATTCGTGTTTATTTGTCTTCGTATTTAGTATGTTGCATGGTTTATATGTAAATTATACATATATATGAGACTGTTAACTTTTGATAAGGTTATTTTTCAAGCCAAAAAAAGTGAAGGATATTTTAGCATATGTATTCGCTGATGTTGAATAATAGCTACTTTCGCTTAGAGTTTAATACTTCAATGCTTTAAAATATTTCTTTGCTTCGTACGAAAAAAAAGTTTATGAAAAAGAAGGATGTTTTTTTGCGTTCTATTGGAATGTGTCCCTTATTTATAAGAATGATTTTTTTGCGCAAAAAATGTGCTCAGAAAGAAATGGGTATTTATCTTATTGGAACTTGTTCAATAAGAATTGCTTTTTTTTTCTTTGTGAAAAAATTGTTCTTACTCACAACAGATAAATTTCAATAGAATGAAAGAAGAGTTTTCAGGAGGCGTTCAAAAACAAACGCATACAAATGTCTTCAGAACACGTTTTATTATTTGAAAAGTGGTTCTGGGTAGGGGTGGGAAGTTACCGTTACCCGGGAGTTACGTTACCGGGTAACTAGTAAATTCGAAGTTACTAGTTACTTTTGGTAGGTAACTTGTCTAAAAAGTCGAGATATCGCTTCCTAATGACTGAATATCATCTATTCATCACTCAATTAAATTACGAGTTACTTGGTAACTAGTAACTCCTATGTGCGTTACTAGTTACTCGGTAACATGTGAGCTGAATAAGTACTGTAATGATGGTAT